ATATTTCTATTGCTAGAGATAGTAGTGAAAATAATTTGGTATTTGATTATGATAGTTTGCAAAAGAAAAAAAGTAAAAAAACTGAATTAATTTATATTAATGATGAAGAACAAGATAGTTATGATAGTAATACAGATGATATAAATGAATATAAAAAACAAGAAATAGATTATGATAATGAATATAATTCATAGATTAATTTGATGTATTTTTTTTTTTGATTTTATAATAAATTTTGATATATTTTACGATTTATATAAATATTACAGTATATAAAAAACAATTAGTGTATAATACCCTAGATATTATACAAATTTTTATAACTTTCTTTTGAAGTCCTTATATATAATTTCTGGATCTTTTAGATCAGATTTATGGGGAGGGTATTATACTATAGGGAGTACTTTAGTCAACTATTTACGGTATATTTGTTATATTAATTTCTATATACTAAATTTAAAAGAAAATAATATTAAGTAAATAATATTCAAAATTCTAATTTTAATTAATACTTAATAGTTAAATTAATATATATAATTTACTATTTAATGTTAATTAATAGTAAATATAATCTTTTTAATAATTTTACATAAATTATATTTAATATTTAATTAATATTTATCAAACTCTTAAATAATTATTATTTTTAATTAATGATATTATAATATAGATTAAAAGTATTTATTATTTAATAAAATTTTTCATTTTTTTATAACTCAAAAAAATTGTAAATAATTATTTAATCTTATTCTGACTTTTTTTTAAAGATTAAAAATTAATACATATAAATTTAAAATTATTTAATATTTATTAACTTTTGATATTTTAATATTATATTCATTTTGAATTATTTGATTTAAAAAAAAAAAATCATAATTTTTATACACAGGTACTTCTATATATAATGATAGTTAATGGTTCAAATAATCTTAAATAATTTAAATAACTAATAATATAAAATCTTTGCAATAGAAAGAAAGGAAATAGTCAGAAAAAATCAATTTTACTTTTATATATTAAATATGATTTTTAGGTCAAAATATTTTAGATTTAACATTAACTCATTTTTATTTATCTAATTTTATATTACAAAGGTCTCATATATCATTTAAATTATTTTAATATTAAATAATAAATAAGCTAATTATTAAAGAATTATATTATATAATTTTAATCCCTTAAAGCATAGGTATAAATTGGCTATAAAATATTATAAAAAAATTATAATATTTTAATATCTAGTG